ATGTTTTATGTACATGTTATCTTCCATCATATATGCATTTATTTCATTAGAACATTAGCATAATTTAGTTAATGCTGAGCCCTGTTTTTTTCCCAAAAAATTGACAGGAAAAATAGGTCTCTAGCTGAGAGTTTCTCAGAGATCCACATTTCCAGAAATGTCATTCTTAAGCTGAGTAATGGTTTGAAAACTAAGCAAGCTCCATAGGCCATGGCTTGTGCTACCAGGCTCTGCTCTACTGTATGGTTTTGTTGTTAATTGTTTGCATTTTGTTGCATCTTCTGTAAGCTTTATCACAGAAGAGGGCTTCTCAAATGGATTAATTTTGCAAGCGAGCATTGATGGAGAGGCACAATGCTGAATGAAGATGTGCTAATTAGCAGATGTACTAATTTTACAGAAGCTGAATGTAAGTTCTTTGTAATTTACTGCAGTAGGTTGGCTGTGCCATGCAAAATATGAATTTGATATTTGTAGCCTACTTCTGTCAGCAGCCCCTGTGTTGCATCTATGAAGGAAGGTTGGGTTAACTCTGCCATGGGAAGGGCAATTCTGTACTGAGTTGAGATGACATCAAATAGCATGCAGTGTGATTACCTTGTCTTAGCCTGCAGATGATGTTAGTCATTTAAACATCCAGTTCTCTGACCTCTCTATATGTCTGCTGCCTGACTATACTCTATATGAAGCACTGTTTTCTTCACATGTTGTGTTTTATGAAGTGAGATATTCTTTCATTTGCTTTCTCTGGCTGTAAAAATCAGCTAGTGAGACTTGGCTGTCATGTACAAGCCAAATGCAGTAAACTGTCAGGTGAAAATGCAGTCAAAATGTGCTGCAAATCTACTTTGCCTAATTAGTATCTGACAGTGATGGGGATATGAGTTATCTTTAAAGCTTCTTTTAAGTGTGTTGGGCATATTATCAGAATTTAACTGCAGTATCAGCAGACTTTATGATAACCTCTAATCAGATTTATAAATAATTGCTTTTGTTAAAGAAATACCCAATTTAAAAAAACAAATTATAATCTGAAGTTGATGGATGAAATTCTTATGTTAATGTCATATAAAAAGGTAATGTTCAAAATGACACAGGTGAGTTTTATTAACAAGGTTACAATTGTGACAGGAATTCACATACTGTGTTTAATCCTTCTTGTGTATGAAATGCAGTAGAAATATTAACTGTCAAGTGCTAAGTGAAAAGCATGGAATATGATCCTTTTTAGCCACTACCAGCAATTCTTCTGTACTGTGGCATATATTTAGACGCCACAAAACCAGAGAAGGCATTCCTACTCTAACTGCATGAATTGGGTGGACTGTTTCTACTTTCACTAATGCTGCTGGCATAACACTGTTAAACTTGGAGAGGTTATGGTGACTTTGTATTAGTTTAAGAGAGACATAGAGCCTAATGACATCTTTGTATGAAAACGCACGCTGTGAGTTGGATGGAAGGTGGTAATTCTTGAATCTACGTGTTGTAAATTCTTCGAGTTTGTTTCTGCTGGAGCATTTATGCCTTATTTCATACAATGGCTGACTGACTGCTTAGATACTGTCACCTGTCCTGATGAACTGGACAGTCAGGATTTGCCCACAATGGCTGCTTAAAGGATAAGAATATACAGGTGGTGTAGATGACTTAGCATGCTGGAGCAGTTGGTGGTTTATACTTAAGCCATACGTATAGCACTCCAATGAATAAATGTAGGCTTTACCTGGAATATTCAACTTTATTTCTGCTCTTAAAGGTCTCTGAAAATAATGTAAACTGTTCAGTACATTAAAGCAAAACTGGAAACTGGTGTGTGTTACACGAGGATATGGCTGGCTCATATTATGCTACATACAAGTGAGAAGGGTTTCCAGAGGTCAGAGACCTGTTGAAGAGCTCATGATTACCAGAGTGTTTGGCATCAAATTAATGCTGTAAATATGACATAACTATGATAATAAAAATATCTGAGCCAAAATACTGTGCTATAGATTGGTACAGAGCATAACTAACTACAGTAAGGCAATGTGCTCTGTGGAAAGATAGTTTTATGAAGAAGGCATGGTAATATGCATGATGGTGGAGAGGCAAGGATGGAGTGGCCTATTTTTCATCTACAAGTGAGCTCGATTAAGATGCAAATTACTGTTTCTTGTCTTTCCTGACAGGCGTGGCATGTCACACCACATCTTTACCTTTTCTATTGTGTTTTGCCTTAGAACTCTTCTTCAACATTGCCAAAGGGAGGAGGGGTTCATGTCGAAGGTCATTTTTGCTGAAGTTAGTGCTGAAAAAAAGACCAGTTGTGTAACAGTCTTAGCTGGATTTACACTGTTACGTAACGTCAAAAATATTAGGAACATGAATGCAGTCTCCATGTCTTCCTTGCTAGTGGAAATACTGGGGAGAATGTTGGGTTTATGGGATTTAAAGAAAAAACATAATATCAGTCAGAACACCAAAATCAGTGTAATTTCAGCCAATTCCCAGAAGGTGTGTTCTGACCAATGCCATGTTCAGAAATACTAAGGAACTGTAATGTTTCTCAGTTGAATTTGAGTCTGTCTGCTGTATGGGGCATTTGGGACTATTCTTTCAACAGTTTTACACAGTGTGAAGAACCTGCAGCAGAAAGGTAAGACATGGAGATGTTTTGTCAGTAAACTAAATATGCCTGTGAATAAACTCCAGAGTGTCTATAAAAACAAAACAACCAACTGAAAACAAACAAGCAAAAAAAAAGCCCAAACCACCAAAAAAAAAAACCAAAACAAAAACAAACAAACCAAACCAAAAGAAAAAAACACCCTGAAACAAACAAAAAAATCACTTCAGAGGGATATCTACAAAGCATTTTACTGTGCACAGTCAATCTGTACATAAATAGGTTCTGATACCAAAGACCTTTTAGACCTGGAAGTCAAGTCTTGACCTTTATTTTGCCCTCAGCAAAATTCCAGTTGTGCTGAATTGTTTAGAAAGCTTCTCTGCTAGGAAAATGTCTAAAGACTTCTATGCCACAGGCATTAGAATATTTGATTTTATTTTTTTTTCATAGGCAACACTTACCAGAAAGCTATGTGCTCACAGTTTAACTGAAGCATCATTAATGTCTGGTTTAGGGTCTCAAGCAACCCTAGTTTATGTGAGAGTATGTCCACTGACAGCAAGAGAATAATAGAGCTATTAAACTAGTTGAGCTAGAGAATGAGGCCTCAGTGAAATAAGAGCACTGCAGTCTTGCAACATCCAGGGACAGACTGGCTGAGGAGAAAGGAAATACAGTGAAAACAGTCTTTTCAATCTCTGTATTCCACCAATATAAATAAAACTGGCATAACCAGTGCTCCTTCCTTTCTGGTTATAATTTGTGCTCCTTCTGTAACTGTTGCAATGTTTTAGCCCTTGTTGTCATTCAACATTGTGTATGTGATTGATTCAGCTTATCTTTCTCCAGGTTTCTAGAGATTTGGTATGCTAGTCTTAAATTGCTCCCTATAGACTGCATTGCTAGTCAGTCAAAACAAACACCTTCATAGAAGGAGCCATTTCACTTGGCAATTTTAGAATGTGTTAGTAGTCTGTAAGATACTTTGTGGTTTAGGAACATTAAGATCAAAATATTTGTGTTGAGAAAAAATCATTGTTGAAAGGATATTGTCTGAAAGAATAGAGCAGTACGTCGCATCTGCCTTCTAACCTGTGGTTTGTACAACAGTCCTCAACAGAGGACTTTAAGCAATAGGTACTGCTAGAGCTAAAAGGACCTGACATAAAATGTGATGTGCTGTATTGCAAATGTTAATCTTCTCTTATTTCCCCTCCTGCACCCGCAAAGTTATATTGCTTTCATATACCTAAAAATAAGAAGAAAACACTCTGTTTCAGGAGTTAGGCAGTGGGGTCCTTTTATTCATCTCCAGTGTATTATGGTACACATTTGCAGTCTTACAGATTTTGTTCAAAGGAGAATTAGAACTAGTGGAATTTTATTTCTGAATTTTTCATGACCATTTCTTCAGTTCTTGCTTGCCAATGCACACCACAGGATACAAGTCTGATTATAATGTGCTCTCCTTTTGTTACTAGGTCAGTACTTCTAATTCCGAGCTTGTCTGCATTGCTGGGAGTATCAGATAATTTACTTGGAAGGAAGCCTCTGACTTGCTCAGTGTTAGTTCAGTCAGCAAAAAACCATCTGTGCAGAAAAGCTTATTGATTACTCTGAGAAGGCAACTTAACTGTACTAAAGGGTCTCTGTTGGTCAGAGTATATATTTTGGATCAGTAAATGAAGATGATTTTGTATTTGAATGTATATACTATACATGCAATGAATGACTCCTAAAAGGATTAAGTCCTATTAAGAATATGCATTCATGGTCTAGACTTTTTATCTTTCTTTCTCTGTCTCTCCCAAAACCTTCTTCCTTTAAAGAAATTTTTGTTAAAAGTAAAATTGAGGCATATGGGAACAGATTGGGTGATTTTTTTCAAATTTGAAATATCAACAAACAATTTTGAAGTGTATCTGTTAAATGTACCTAATATGCACATGCATGGAAAGGCAGCATTGTATATGTCCTGGTTCTTTTCTGTGCTCTAGACAGCAGATTTGGTATCTGCTGCAAGAATACTTATTTGATGTAAATATTATTTTCTATAAGCAGAAATTGTATCAGACAGGTATTCAACAAATCACTGCATTCCACTTTCAAACAGCTTTGCTGCTGCCCTCAAGGGATGTTATCTGGAAGGGGGAGACACACAGTTGAGGATTGTTCTGGAGTGTGTTCTGCTCGTGTTAGGATTAAACTGCCTTTAGGAAGCTGTGCAGAAGCAGGCACCTTTGTAATTTGTGCTACAGTTACTGTGTTTCTTAACCTTTCAGTGGATGGGACTTTAAGATGTGGAAATAATGTAAAAGGGAATTAATTGCAGGGGATTCTAGCCTCTGTTAGTACTCATCACTATTTCTGTTCTTTTTTTTGTTTTCAGTTACAAGAAAACACATGAGACCCTGAGCCATGCAGGACAAAAAGCAACAGCAGCTATCAGCAATGTAGGAACTGCTATCAGCAAGAAGTTTGGAGATATGAGGTACAGGGATCTGCTGGTTCTCTGGTCTTATTTGGAGAACAAAAAGTATAAGTCACCTGTCAGCTTTTCTTTAACTTCTGCATGGTATTTTAAACATTCAAGTAGTTTGTCATCAGTGTGTGACATAATTTGGTGTTAACCAAAAAGAAGGGATAGTGACAAATGAAGATATAATTCTTATTCGAGCCCCGGTTTAAAAAAAAGAAAAAGTGCAATTTGAAATCCTTTTGGAATAACTTTGCAACCTCAAGGAAATGTACAAGTAAAATGGAATGAAAAAATACTGTTAGATCTTTATTACTCCAATTTTATTCATACATGGGTTCTGAAGACCAGTGTCATCTGAAGAAAACAAGCCTGCCTTGGAGCTGCTCATGGAAAGATAAATAAATAAATAAAAAACAGGCTATTTTTTTGTTGGCTTTTTCAAGATGTACAAATTCAAGTTGTGGTTTGCAGTTGTATTTATAAAAAAAGATACGATGAAAGTAACAGGAGTTGAGGCCAAGAGAAAAACTGTCGCTTAAATGGAGCCTGAATGTCAGGCTTTATGTGTTGCTGTATTTTTAAAAGTGTTGATCTTAAATTTCCTCAGAATAAGATCATAAATGAAGAAATTGTCCACTGTAAACCAGCACTTCAGTTTTCAACTTCGTAGCAGCATTACAGAATTTCTCAGATGTTTTAGGGAGTTGATTTTTTTGTGACAAAATAAATGGACATGGGTAACGCTACAGTATATTGTTTGAGCTGCAGAATTAGTCACATTTATTAGAGATATTGGTATGTATTCACGTTTTTGGTTATTTTGTAATGAATGAGATAACCATATCTGAAGAGCTGTATGAATCCATTTTACAATGTTTCATATAAGTATGAGTTTGGTTTTTTTGCTGCAAATGGCTGGGGCATAGTTCTTGGCAGCTAAAACTTATCTTTTCCCCTTTTTGTTCTTAATCTGAATTTTAAGAAAACTTTAGAGTCCCTCCTTTATACCTACCTTTACGTACAGCTTCATAAACACTCTATGGAAGTGCTACTGTTTTTCTAGGAGAAACTAAAGAAGGAAAATCTTCATTGCTGTATCTGCTTTACAATGTCTTTTTCTACATTGCAGTTGAAAATGGAAATCTAGCGAGTGACTTATAATCAGGGTATGAACATAAACTGAGAATTGTTTGACTCGGTACAGTTAAACATCTATATGCCTGTATATGGGTATCAGAATAAGGAGGCATGCAGTTACATTTCCCTAGTTCATTTTTTAGTATTCAGCAATCTGAGAGCTGAAAACTTTCTAAAGCTGAGGTTTGAACTTTCATTTAAAAGTCCTTTAACTTGTATCAGCTTTTTTCAGATTCATAACACCTCTTGTCTCCCAGATGAACAAATGGTTATGTGGTAAAAAAGTGGGTGGGGGTTTTTTTTCATTCATTCATTCACTTTTCTCAGTCTTCCTGCTCTTTCCTTTGATGTCTTCTGGCCCTTCTATTATGAGAAACAGTGAGTGTAGTCCTTCTGCTGTCCTTCATGCTACTCGTGATTTCCTGTAGTTTTATCATATTTCACTGTCCTGGTTTTGGCTACAATAGTTAATTATCTTCCTAGTGGCTGGTGCAGTGCTGTGTTTTGACTTTAATCTGAGAACAATGCTGATAACACACTGATGATTTAGTTGTTGCCAAGTAGCACTTACCCTGATCATGGACTTTTCAGTCTCCCATGTTCTGTAGACAGGAGTGTGGTACTTAGTGTCCTTTTTTCCAGGCTGAGGCTCCAGTTGCATGAGTTGCTTTCACAAGCCTTTTTCCTACCTTTCTTTATTCTTACTGCCTTCCCTGCATTTATAGTTGTGTTCTATATTTTTCAGATATGTGTGAGATGTTACATCCTCTGTTTCATTTTCTGTTCTTTCCTAACACTCGCTCCTGTAAAAAAAAAAAAAAAAGAAAAAAAAAAGGACAAGCTCACTGCTCAGTGAAGAGGTCCTGTTGCTGCTTCCGTGCTTCAGATCCTACAGCACTGAGCAAAGAGCTGGTGTAAGAATACCTTGAACACTGGCTCTTGATCTTAGAGGGGAGGATGATTAACAATTCAGGACTTCTTAGGTCCTTGTCAGGTCCTGTTGTTTGTGTTTTGCATAGGGTGTGGGATTAACTGCAAAGTCAAAAATGTCTTCACTATAATAAAGCACATTTTTCCTTTAATATTTCCCTTCATTAATCACTGTTACCATATTCCTTTGCTTTATCTATCAGTATTAATCCCTGACCCCCATGGCAGTCATGCTTCTGACTAGCACTTGGAAAGCAGATGGGTGGTATTTATCCCATTAGCCCTTTATCCAAGGACTCAAAGCAGAGGCTAAGTCCATAAACATTTTGATTAATCAAGGAATTTGTTTCTAGTAGCTTTCTTTGACTGAAATTATTACCTTGAACCTGGTTGGGAGTTTATCAGGAAAGTATGAACTACCAGCACTGCCATTTTTTTTTTGTGAACACTTGCTGTATTCTGTTAAATTCTCAATTAGGAGAATTTTCTTGATGATAAAGCGTCAAGCAGTACAGCCAGTATGCCATAGCTACATAAAGCGTGGAGTAAGTTGGGCCTTCTGCATCTGCTGAACATCCTAGATCTAGAGTAGTGGTCAGTATGTTCCCTCAGCAACAAAGCTGGCCTGAGATCTTGGCACAACTCGGGCAGGTGCAGTTCTGTGTGCGGTCACACTATAAACCTTATGACTTACTTAAATAGGATGGTTTTAAAGATCTTGCCCTCTCCCACTCCAATCCCAGCTGTGTTTGGGAAAGTAAGCTGCAAGGAGGCATGCTTCATTGTTTATTTGCTTTTTGCAAATACAAATCATTTTAGATGGATTATCACCACTCCTGCCATAATGCTGATTTAAGCACACATCAGACCATGGCTTAATTCTGTTGGTTAGGCATTAAGGCTGATAGTCACCAATTTGCATCCAGAGGCAAATCCCTGTTCTGCTTTCATTCAGAGTAGGCACTTGTAGCTGATTTCTGAAATCCAGATGATCATAATTCCCAGTATGGTCAGCAGTTTTACCCCATGCCTGTAGTAATGGTGATTTTGAAGGGGTCTGTAGTCAGCCTGACTCTGAATATTGAAGCTTGCCTGCTTTATGAAACAAAATTCTGTTTTTCAGGTCGTCTGCTATATCAGCTGTACAGAGCAGCACATGAAACATTTCTGAAGATGCAGGGTCTCAATCTCACCTTTTATTATGTGTAAAAATATTACTAAAATGTCATATGTCAGCAATAGACTCTCCCAAATGTGGTGAAATCTACAAGAAAGAAAAATGACAAAATTCCACATGTCCCAGAGAACAGAGAAGACACCCCGTGGGGACAAAGTGCTTTTCATGCAGCGGCCGTGCATCTCTTTCATCCCCACCCCAGCTTCCCAACTCTCTAATTCATTTTGTGCATGAATAATCACTAGCATCTCGCATCTTCTAAATTTTGTAGTTATTATTAGTGCTTGTATGGTCTCTTTACGGTTGTAATGCATTCTATTTAATATTACCATGTTACTAGAAATACCAGAAATGTATGTAAAAACAGTATGCAGAGATTTTTTGCTTTAGGACACAAACTAGGCACTAGTAATATCGTTAAGATAACATAATATCATAATAATGATATACCATCAGGATACTTTGTTGCCCCTCCACCCCCACCTCATGTAATCTCCTTTAACATTTTGTGACACAGAGAAGGAAGGCACAGGGGAAGAGGAGAGACTCAGGTCACTCACAGGTCAGTAGCATGGGCTCAGCTCTTTCAGGTGCTACACTAAATTTCAACATGGCTTTTGCCATGTAGAGCACAGATGTGATACAGAGTTGAGGGTCTTTATCCCTTTCTCCTTTGCATACTGGTAAAGTTTGGACCTTTCCATGCAATACTTCTGGACTACTCTGCAGCTGTCTGTGGATCTAAGAGTTTCAGCCCTCCTGATGGCCTTTTTAAAAGCAGAAGTGGGAGACTTTCTGTCTTTTTGGTCTGCTTAAAAAAAAAAAATAAAAATGGTGGGGGTAATTGAAAGGAAATAGGAAACTATGTACACATTATATACTACTACATACATTGCTACTACACAAATGTATTTAAAGACTAAGCTAACAAAGGCATGCATGCAAATTAGGATGTCGGCAGTTACACTGCTTATACATCATTCATTTAACTGTCTCGTGCATTCTCTTTAATTACATGATCACACAGACCCCTTTCAAATTCAGTGCCTGGGATGAGCCAGCTCTCAAGATGAATGAAGGTAGTATAATGCCTCCTTCCTGCCAGGAGTTGCATATGTGGAAAGAGGCAGAAGACTGAATGGACGAAGAGCTTGGGGGCATGACTGTGGCAGTTGAATGTGCCCCTCAGAGATGATAGGAATCGGCACAGAAGGTGTATGAGGTCCCAGAGGGATGGAGGAAGGCAAAGTTCATCCCTCTGGAAAGGTGCAAGGGAAGTTCTGGGAAGCAGGTACTGGGGGGTGTAGGTGGAGGATGCATTAACCTGTTATTTTCTAAGTATCTAGAAGATAGCATAATGGCAAAAACATAAAAGGATTTGTCAAGAACAATTATCTTGAACTGACAGCATCTGTCACAGAGGACATAGGGGAGGCAGGAGATGTGGTAGGGCTTGACTTTGATAAGGCCGTCCACTCTTTTTTCGCATAACTAGAGAAATACAGTTTAAGTGTTACTGCTTTAGCAGGAAGAGGACATAGGGAACTGAAAAAGCTCACAAATGCAGCTGAACCGATCATTTCTGAAGGCTGTGAAATCCCTCTTATTGGAATATTTTAGAAGCAGGTTAGGCCAATATCTTTTTTAGATGGCTCAGTTATAATTAATCTCTTTCAGTGCTGTGAGAGTTAGCTTTTGCCATGCCTTTATTGTTGTGCCTTTTGGGTTTTTTTGTTGTGGTGGTAGAGGTTTTGTGTAGCCTTTTATTGATCATTTCCAGGATTTCTGTGATCTAGGGATGTTTTGGGCACTTAAACTGCTACTGAACTCACTGAGATGAATTTCTTAAAATATTTTAGCTGTCATAACCAAATCTACCATTCGTAAGCCTCTGTGGGTCTGGTATCGCCTATAAAGGAAATGGTAAATACTGTCTTGCTTCAGGATATAAGTATTTCTTTGCTGACGGGAGAAGCAGTTGATTTCTCATTTCTACTAACACTTGCTCCTTCCTTTGTGACGGTTTTTGGACCTCTGCAGTATTACACATTTCCTTATCATGTGGCTGTACAAGTATCTGTATTAGCATGGAGAAAGGGGTAGACTGTTACCAGGAGTCAGCAGGTAGTAAAAGAAGGCTACCTATGGCAACAGCATTACTTAAGCCAGTCTAAGCTGAAAAGTGTTATGAAGATAAATCCATGAGTGTTTGAAAAGCACCAATATACATGATGAGTCCTGTAAATAACCCTGAAGAAATCAGTGCTTATCTTCAGAGCAAGATATGAATATTGTGCAGTAAATAATGCATCATACCACACACACATCGAAAAAGGATGTGAAAAATAAGTATTGAAGAGATGTTCATTAATTGTGCACCATCTATCTGGCTCACCGCATGAGGCAGGTGTTCCCTTGAAGTGGTCTGTAATTAAAGACTACATCAGTAGCACACAGATGTAGGAGAGGCTGTCTGCCTCCTCATTTCTCGACTTTGGAACCTTAATGACATCCTTTGAATATCATAAATCAGTGTGCCTCTGCCAGTCCTGCTGCCTTAATTAAGTTCCTTGTGAGCTGGAAAACAGTGTCAAAGTGTTTCAATTATTGTTTTCAACAAGGAGAAAGTATTTTAGAAAATGTCATTTTAGGAATTAAAAGCTTTGTATTTTTTCTGATACCCTTCTCAACTGAGAGATGATTAAGAAATTTAGAGGGGAAAAAGGGGTTTGCTGCTGATATACATGTACAATTCCATTTTCCCTATACTTTCTCTTGAATGAGATTGAGGTAGGATTTGTGGGGGGAAACCAGTTAGCATTGTTTACATCTGATCTAATGAAGAGAACACAAAATTTAGCAAAGCTCCCGTTCCTCACTGCACAGAGAATAGGTGACCATGTAGTGGAGGACCGTGTGTGCAAATTTTTGCTTTGAAGGTATCTCAACTGATCCATGTGCCAGTGTGAATTGCAGCAAGATCTGAATGCAAATAATATAATTTTTCTCCTAAGGCAGTTTGACATGCTACAAATATATACGTGTATTTTTTGTTACTTTTTCATAATACTTTTAACTCTTGCTTTTCTTTCCTTGTGCATCCTCCGCAGATCTCATTCAATTAGGTAAGATACATTACTCTCGATGAATACTGCCTCTGTACTTGACAGGTTCTGTTTTATGGAACATAATGCAGTAACCTCTTTCCTTTCAGCATCATTATATAGGATAAAAACATATACTACTTAAACTGTAATGCCTCACTTTTACAGCATGACGAGTGTAATAAGGAAGGGTCTGGACTAAGTGTTTGCCTTGTTCTTGAGTAGATTAGTCTCAAATTCAAATAATGAACACATTCAGAAGATGTTGCTCTTGGAAAAGCCTATTATATGTAATCCCATTCTCTCAACCATCTTTTTTTGTCAGAGGTTGGAACATAACAAATGCTCCGTAAAATTTCTACTCAGCCAGCAGAGTTTTATTAAGATTGTATGAAGTATTTAATTACCTCCTCTTCAATAAAGCAAAAGTAAATTAGTCATGAAGTGTACATGGTGATTCTTTACAAGTCTTGAGTCCTGGGGAAATTTCCAAGAGTAGGCCAAGTTATTAACATGATTAAAGGGGTTCTTTATAGAGAGAGCTCAGATTTATTGATGCTGTAAAGCACTTCAGTATATGATGAATTATAAAACAATTTCATGTGTGCTCAAAGTGGTCTGGCTTTATGTCAGTTCACTCAGCAGAGAGGCTGAACAGCCCTGAATCCCCTGCAGTCTCTCTGCCCTCGTGGCATCCCCAGTGCACAGGACAGCTCCAGAACAGTTTTTTCTGTTCAGCTAAGTGATCCTAACATGAACTGTTACTTCACTGAGAGAACTTAAAAATGGAGCATAGACTGATCTTCCTGTCTCAGTCTGGCTAAACATAGTATTTAGCGACCTTTGTCATGAAGGATCTCTGTTCTCTGCCTCTGCACTGATCACAGACATGTATGTCTTTAAAAAAAGCTTAATATTTTAGGCTTCTAGTAAAAGATGTTGTTACTGTTCCTATAACTTCCTTACCTTCTCAGAAATAAAAAGTTTAATTCAATAAAATATGCATTCAGTCTGTCACATGCCATCTCTCAGCTGTGCAAATTTAATTTGGCACAATGTAATCTTACTTAGATCTTCATATTTGGAACGTTTTGTTATTAGAAGAGGAGCAGCCTATGCTGAAATGCTTCCAAACTCTTGTTCTTGCCTATTTGTCATGTGTTAAAAGACTAAAATGGTAAGCATGCTTGTTTAATTTAACTAGGATGGATTTGCTGCACTTGTGAAATGTTTGGGCTAATCTTTTGAAAGTCTTCAAAATGGTGTGAGAAACTGAACATGAAACATTTGCATTGTGTGCTGTTAGTTCTCGTCTATCTGAGCTTCACAGAGCACTTAAAATACACACAACAGCAAACAGTTCGTATAAGATCTCTCTGTTCCACCTGCTTGCCAAATAGCTCTTTCCTCCTTCCTGTCCCCATTTCTGAATCTTTAATCTGGAAAAAAAAAATAATCCTTTGTGTGGATACGGACACAGTGCTGCTCTGAATTTGTATGGTTCCGAACAAGCACATGTGCTGTTTATATAGAGCTTTCATTTTTTAATACTATAATCATGCTTTGCTTGATTGCAGCCAAATGTTGGTATCCCTCAGCTCTCACTGTTCTCAATCAGAGCAGGCTGCAGCTGTCAGTCAACACTGAAAGCAGCCAAGCATGAATTTTTGAAACAATACATACTCTTGCAGTGCACAGTTTACTTTCAGTGTTCAAATCTGAATGCATTTATGGATGATTCTTACACTTCAAATAAAGATCCATATTTAGAACAGGCTTAGATGCTTCCCAGCAGCAGGGAATAGGTGATAGCAGAGTTGGCTTTGGTGGCTCAGGTGGAAGAACATGGCTAATGTAGGCCAAGCAGGCAGCCATCTCCAGGGTTAAAGGTGCGAGACAATTTGGGGGATCTTTGAGTGATGCAGAGACTCCATCCTTCACTTGCCAGCCTTCCAATCCTCTTGCTGCTGGGAAGTCTGAGGAGGTCAGTGTCACAAGGAGAGATGGCCAAGACCTGTGGAAAACAGCTTTCTAGTCTTCGTAATGTTGAGGTATGAAGAAGGAGGTGAAGCGTCCTGCAGAGGTGGGGACAGCAGGTGCTGCAGCTGACAGAGCAGCATATCTGGCTGAAGAAACTTCTTTTTAGGTAGCATAGTGTGCCTGTAGTAGGAGCCTATACAAATCAGTGGCCAGCACTGGCTATTTGGACTGTATACATTGTAAATGCAACAAAGGCAATTGCCTACTTACCTACTGCCTTGACCCAGCTCTGTCTATGCTCACAAACTCAAGGTGTACTGCGCTCACCCAGAACAGAGCTTATCATCTGCCACTGTGGAGCACAGAGGTAGTGCTCTGTTCCTCTGTCACATGTTGTGTGTCTGTAGATAGCAGAGGTCTGCGTCATTTAAATGGGTATTGCCAGGAACTGTTTTGCATGGTTGTTTTGAGCCCCATTGCTGATCAGTTGTCATGAGAATGTGGTGGTAAGATCTTCAGTGCTGAAAGTGAGCTGGAATCCACAGGTGAGTGGATGGCAACAAGCTGTTGCCATCAGGAGAGGAAGAGTACCAGCAGTCTTAAAAATATGTGTATGCATCTTAAAATCTAAGTTAAAATCAAAAAAAAGTTATAGTCGTGTTGCAACCAGATTTTAAAGCTTTTTTTCCTTATCTTTTGCTTTCATCCCACAGTTACTCTATTCGCCACTCCATAAGCATGCCTGCAATGAGGTAATACGTTACCCATATTCTATTTGCTATGGTGGTGTTTAGCCATGTAATGAGGGGGGATTTGCATACTTTGATCCTGATCCTGCAGGTTTTAGTTGGATGAACAATCCCACTTCAATCAATTAAGTTTGCTCACGTAGATAAAGGCTGCAGGACAGGCCATCTGTGGGTTTGGTTTTTTTTCCTTTTAATTGTATTAACTATTTAATCTCTTGCACAAGCCTTTGAGTAGATGAAGCAGTTCTGAGATGTATTGGGGTAGTTGATTGTTACCAGGTTTGTATTACTGAATCTGAAATTCAGTTGTTCTGCTGGTTTTAGAACATCATCCAAAGCCCATTAACGTCAGAGATGTTTTCCACTCCAGCAGGCTTTGGATCATGTTCCTATGGAGGGATTTTATATGAGTGCTTTCATGTTTTAACGGCTATAATCATGCTTTACTTGACTGCAGCCAAATATTGATGTCTGTTCAAGTAAAGCTCCAACTGTTTTCAATAAAATTAGGATCTAGCTTTCTTTTTATCCCCTTGGCCTCTACATATATGAATATCCCCACTCCCTGCCAAGCATGTGGGGAAACAAATATCCTAACTATGTGATGGACGTTAATTCATCCAACTTCAGCAGGTGGATAGTTTAAGGCATTCACCAGTGTGACCTGTGGATCAGATGTAAGTCAAAAAACTCAGTTTCTCTCTCCTTTTGACCCTTTTTATCACCTATTTAACAGAACAAAAGGTAAATCTGCGTTATTTTTCCAACTGGCTTCTGTTTGTCCTTGTAGGAACAGGATAGCCAGGCCAATTTGGTTTCAATTATTAGGCAGGTTCTGCTTTTGTAAAATTGAAGCTAAAATATATTCATCTGATTACCATAATTGGATTTGACTGACAGAGCACAAGTGACTGTTCATACCCTATCAGTCTAGAGCCCTGCGCTGCCAGCCAGACCTCAGTCTGTCCTACAATTTTTGCCTGGTAAGAACTGGTCAAATGGTGGAGTTACACCATTGCATTTGCAACTCACTCTTCATTCCTTCCACTTTCTTTTTCTCCTAGGAATTCACCAACTTTCAAATCGTTTGAGGAGAAGGTTGAGACCACTGTCACAAGCCTTAAGGTAAAGGTTAAAGGCAGTTACATGGCTGTGTGCGTTAAAGTGTGACAGCTTAGTTGTGCCTATCATTTGTACAGACTGATTGAATTTGCCATTCGATCATCAAGAATTTCACAGAACACCAATGGCAAATGAAGGCACTGTGCAAAGAAACAGTCTTTCTCTGCTTTGTTACTAAAAAAATTACTTCTGCTGTCTGCCAAATTAAACACATGGTCCCATCCCTGAGCCACCCCCCGGACAATACTAGAGATGTACTCACCAGGTGCCTCTCATTCAGCTGATGTGAGCTGTTGTGTAGCTCTGGTGTGACTCACACTACCTGTGTAGCTTTTAGCACTGAACTCGTCTTTAATGCAGGTGTGTTTCCTCTCAAATTGCAATGTTTTTTTCTGGATTTATTTGCTGTGGGACAGGAAGATCTGGTGGCAAAGTTACCAGTTATCACTAATAATGCTTGTTAAGGACAGTATCACTCAGCAGGTCAGAGCAGTGAGCTAATCTTTGCTGCATGGGAAGGCACATTCAAGTGGGGAACAAGAGGGTTTGTCTCCTAATGGTTCTTATTCATCAGTTAAAGTCAAATGTGCTCATAAACTGGCATTTTACTTTGCTGCGATAGAAAGATTCCAACACACTCCAAGTACAGTCTGTCAGTGGACAAGGGTCAGATTATGACCCCTCATTTTAGGGGGAACTGAAAATACAGCTGAAAAATAGGTGAAGGTCAAGGGGTGTTATAACTTGTAAAGTATTAAAAAGGCGAGAAAATGGCCTTCCACTTGGAACAGAAGGATGTTCCTTCTCAGAGAAAATGAAAATTGCAGCTATGACTGAAGCAGCAGGTGCACAGGGAAGGTCTGTCTTATCCATGCCCCTATGAAATTGTACAGTACATAAGATTTTCCAGTCAGTGTCTGAGGAAAGTCAGCACAGAGAGTTTGACTTATTTTTATGTTTCTAAATAAGCATGTCCATCAAAGAATGCAGAGTTGCTCTATGATTTTCAGCTTTTGAGTGTTCACATTTATTTAGTGATGGGCTATTCTGACAACATGTAAGTCATGATGGTGTAGGGTAATGTCATCTCCATTGCACTGTGTCAGAGAAGGAAACATCATCTCAGTTTCACAGGTGGGAGGCAGCATCCCAGGGAAGACTAGGAGCATCCCAAGGAGCTAGAACAGAGCACAGACCTTCAGAGCCCCAGCTTAGTGCCTGTATACGCTTTCCTATTCATTCTTTTCACCTTAGCTGCAAATGCTTTTTATACTCTATCTCACTGTAGGAGAAATCATTCATCCAGTGGGGTGCATCAGCTTGGAAGGTCTGATTTCCTGTCTGTTGCAGTCAAGCATATCACTTGCTTATCCCTTTGTGTTCCTTCTACCCATTTAGATAAGGGATGCAACTCATTGTAACTCCTGAAGTCTGAAACAGATTTTTTTTTTTTTCCTTTTTCACCACTTACCAATTGGAAAAGTGAAGCATTTTTGTGCCCATTTAGTCACTAAACCTATTCTTGGGGCTTTCAGTAGTACTTCTAGCTCCCAAGTTTGCTTCTAGACTACTCTAGACTCCACAAATCCCTTCCTCCTACATTTAGGACAACTTGTGATAGGGGCAGCTTAAAAGCCTTTTGCCTTGATTTGAGGGGTAAAGGACAAATGTGAGTGATGTCCTTTCTGCGTCAAGGGACAAGTGTCTGTGTCCAGCCAGAGGAAAGAGGAAAGAGGAAAAGTCAATTTGAACTGCACAGCTCTGAAGACCATTTCTTCTCACAGTGAACTGCTTGAGGAGCCTGATCTTATTTTGCTGGTTAAGGAAAGGTGTCTTCCAGGAGAGACTATTTGTCATGCCAGTTCTTGGCTGATTGTGTTCGGAGGGGTCTTTGATCATCCTTTAAGGAATCTTTGATTAAGCAGGACAAAACAAAAAGTTGATTGAGTACACACGGGGGCATTAGCCAGAGGCATTCAGTAAAGTGACTTACACTATTCTTTTCAGATGGAAGAGTAGGCAGAAAGGCAAATAGAAAATGAAACTGCATTAATGTTTCTGAGGTGTCCAGATTCAGATGCACCTTACTGAGTCATTTAAAACAGTGCAGGAATAGTCTGCTTTCACAATCACTCTGATCAGTCCAAATCAATTGAGAACTTTATTTGGCAAATAAAAGTCATGAGTTTTGCCATGAAAACACAGTGGCTTCTTTTCACTGCAAGTTCTGGGCCTCCCACCATTTAACAATGAATATGTTTTGTATTGCTGTTTGCAAAAACCAGGGATGGACTGACACTTTCTGGAACTCAGCACAGCCCATTAGACTGGATACACATTTTTACCTCTGGGGATGGGAACTTTTAATAGCAGTGACTCAAACTGTCAGAGCAAATATCAAGCCTAGTACTACTACCTTATTTTATTGAACTTTCAAGCTAGGCCAGTTCCTGTGCTAGCTGATGAAACAAAGGATTACATAGGATTAATCCTTTGGAAACCTAGGACATAAAGTTCATTTAATTAAAATAATCTTCTTAGGCATTTAGTGGCTTACAGGCTGGAAACATGCCATCTTGTCCTGCAGCAGTTCTAGGATGGAGTAAAATGTTTTGCCCTATTTTCGGGCTGGAATCAACTTCAAGTGGGCATATCAGTAAGCTGAACCACCAAAGAACGTTCTCTTAACAAGGCAACCTGGTCAAAAGTGCTTTGTCTCTTCATCATTTAGTCTTGACCATTTCCAAATCTCTACCTAAAGTTCTGTCTTTGTCAGGAAAACACTTTTTCAGTTTTAGTCATACTGGGTTTTGGGTTTAATATTTATATTAACAAAGTCAGCAAACAGAAGCATTTTGAAAGTAGATGTCCTGTGAGCACATTGTCATTAATTTCATTAATTTCATTAATGTAATTTGATATCTTTTCCTCTCCCCTCCCCACATGAAAATGTTGTGGGCAGTTTTATATATACCAGTATCTAGGCAGGTATAAGTACCTACAGGGAGACAAGCTGATGGTTTATTTCTTTGATCACTGTATTCTTTCAGCTGTCCAAAATCCCAGTACAGTTTATGTATTTTGGGAGCAGCTGTATTACTGTTGCTGGTGATGGGCCACTTCACTCAGCAAATGAAGCAGTTCATTTCAATACCCGTCTTTTATCCAGCCTATGTAGAACTCAAAGAAACAGTGAAACCAGTGTGAGCTACTCATGTAAAGAACCACCCTAAGTTTACTGGTATGATCTGGGATCCTGCCTGGGATCTGCTTAGGGACTGGTTCCTTTAGGCATACATTAAGTGCCACTGGCAGATTTTGTGATTGCAGCCTAGAGGAGGAAAGGGTTTGCTTTATTTGAATGTTTTTATAGCTTTTGTTCTAAGGAGAATGCAACCCTGCATGTCCTCTGCCTGCTTTGAACAGTTCCCACCTCTTCATGGCCTTGGGGTGGAATGCAAATGGCACTTGCTACAATGTGAGCAGAGGAACTTGCTGTTCTTTGTTTGCCATATTTCAGACCAAGGTTGGTGGGACAAGCAACACAGGGGGCAGTTTTGAAGAAGTTCTCAGCTCTACAGCCCACGCCAGCGCTCAGAGCTCTCTTGCTGGCACCCGAGTCCCTGAGAGTGAAGAAGAGCTTCAGTGTTAGATGGCAGCGATCCTGAGCCTCACAGGCCTCTCTTCAGAGACTTGCCCAGCCAGTGAGTTTCAGACCTCTCTCACCACCCAACTTGTGCAACCAGGTTTTGCCAGTTGCCTTCCTGGCCTTGTGCTGGGGAAACTTTTCCTATTTGTATTTTTGATGGGCCATTTTATCATCAGGTACTTCATACACCACAGAAACCATATGCAAGTCATTGACTTAAATGCTCTAAGTACTATGTTAAGTGACCAAAAGAGTTTTCATTTAACTTCCCTCCAACAATCTCCCAGTCTGTTTCTTATTTTAGTTCACTGTTTTCTGTTGGTTTCCAACTCCCCTCTCAGTGCCACATCAGACAGATGGACCTAGAGCTGTGCAACGATTCCTACTGCCAGCACTAGTCCCTATACCAGCTGCCTACCAGGCATACCAGGTGCCCTTTGCTCAGGAGTGTCTGTACATGATCTATTTCCTAACAGAATTAAAATCACTTATTGTCACTAAAGGTTTTTTCTCCTTCACTGGTACAGCCTGGCGTTGCCCTCCACCCATTAGTCAGCAGAGTTGAAGAAGACAGGAGGAGACACCTAGTAATTCATATGGAAACCGAACTGATCATGAGGTGGTCATTGTAGCTGGAAAAGCTTCGGTTTTAAAATTACCATTGCTTGCTCTCTGGTTTGCTAAGACTTGACCGTATAAGTAAGTTAATTATAAAAGGAGGTGGAGTGGAGGGAACCTCTAATATTTTTGCCTCCATATCTTCCCCTCAAATAATAAGGGAAGGTGTTTATAAGCCTCAGACACAGCCTTAAGTGCAAGAATACAAACCCAACACTTGGCTTAAGATGTGCCATAGGTTAGGGCACCAATGCCTTCAGCCCACATTCCAGAGCTGCTAGCATAAAACCTGTTATGACACCCAGGCTGAGTAGGTACTTTACTTTTGGTGTCAAATTTTGTCATGTTTCACTCCAGGTCATAATTCCACCAGCCACATTATATCTGCTCGATCACCAGAAGCCAGCCGTCTCTCAGCTTTGATCGATTCAGCATGTTTGCTTGCATCCTTTTAACATTTTTTCTAAGACAAGTGCAGCACACTTGTGACACTCTCTTGCTGTCTAGTGAGCATGTGACAGTCTGCATGTTGCATTATTCAGTTCACCAGACTGAGATGAGCACAGTGAAGTATAAGCAAGATGGAAAAGAGTCTGGCTACTTTCAAAATGGATGTGGATTTTTAGCATAGCCAAAGCTTCAACTTGGTGTTAGTGAATCTGACATTACAGACTGCTTAAAATCTTGTGAGAAAAGTTGACTTTAAGTGATTTTTTTTCCCACGTGGCTTTTGTTATAGTTTATACAGAGTTTGAAGTCCTTTTGTAATGTTCTACTGGACATAAGTTAACTTTGGACATTTATCAAATGCCTCTTTAGTGTGATTTTTAGCATGGAAGCAAATTAATTAGTATCCTGTAGTTCATATTTCTTGTGACAATTTGCTAGCTTATTTTAAGTGGGTTTGTGCAAACACATGAATTTATTTAACTAAAGAAGATACTCCTGGTCAATTTTGTGTAAATCAAGTTATTGATAGTCTTATTAAAAATAAATTTCTCTCTTACTTTACACTTTGTGATGTTTTCTTTCCAATTCTGTGTCTCTACCAGCATTACTGTGCATCTAAGCACTGCAGTTTACCTTGATACTCTGTGGCGACACAGCAAAATCTCATCTGCCATTCCTACAGTTTTTAAAATCTGTACAGTTCCTCCTGGCCCTGAAATTCCCCATGGAAATATATTATCTATGTTTTGAAAATGTTGAGGTTCAAAGGACAAAAATGATTGTTCAATAAAAGTGAAGCACAGGGTGGAAAACATCTTCTAGGTCTACGACCTTCTTTTGAGCAGGGTCAGCAGCCAAACCAAGGTCAAAACATGGAGCCCAAGGACTGTCACCTTCTTCAGGACACCAACTTAGACATCATTTATGTGTTTATATATGTATATACATATGCACATAGACATCCTTATGGAAAAGCAGTAAATTGCTTTTAACTACATTTAGTAAGAGCATAATTCAAAAAGCTTGTGTAGGAGGTAGGTTGGCCAGACAAGCTTCTCTTTCACAGCAATCGTTTCACATTATTGTCACTACAGCAACTGCCATGAATAGATCAGGAGAGGAGGTGGTTTCCTCTCACAAGTAGAATGTCCAGGGCTTAGTACCCTTCTACATGTGAATAGTACATTTCACACCACATGAAGCCTCACTACCAACCTGCCATCATGGCTCATGCTTTCTTCTCCAGCCTGTTTCCAGCTTTTCCAGCTTCCTATTTCTATTCAAATGCAGTGCCCAAAACCAACATAGGATTGCAGCTGCAGTGAGTAGACACGAAGCACCTGCTGGATTTCTTCACACAAAACCAAACCCCACCCAGCTCTCACTCAAACCATGTCTTTGTGTTCCAGGCTGGTATTTACCTTCCTTGCACCACTGTGCTGCTGGCTGTGGCCCAGCACACCATCCTTTCCCTAGGACCCCTGCAGACCAACGCATTATCAGCCAGTAAAGCCTCCTGCAGCACTGGAGGAACAGACTGGTCCTGCTGGGGTAGCACACACGCTGTGTGGCTTTCTGTCAAACACCTCTTTTAAGGCCACCTTGTTTGTTCTCAGTTCTGTCTTCCAATGCATCTGTGGCTCTTTCATGCCTGCATTTAATGCAAGCTAATGGTGTCTGTGATTTGTATGCCTCTCAGTGGAATAAAACCACTAAAGCTTCACAAGCCCCACTCCATCACCCCTGTAGTATGACAATCAGCCACTGATAACCACTAATCAGTTTTCTATTGCTCAGTAAAGCTCAGCCTGTTCTTCTGGGGTTCCCACAGAGCACAACTGCTGCCTTGTGGGGTTTCCTGTACAGAGTGGGCATACCACATCTCAGCTGGACCAACATGCTCTGCAGATTCTGTGCACAGTGCCAGCCACCAAGGCAAGAGCTCCCAGCAGCTCTGCACCAGCTGCAGAACGCACCACAAGCTTGGGGCAGGCCCCTGTTTTTTGTGTAACGGAGACATTTCCCAAGTCATGGTGCCTGAGGGTGTGTGCTTAGCTGCATTACCTACCTTTAAAGGGGATGGCAACTGAATTTAGTTTTATGCTGCCTCATTTAATATGTGGCTGAAGTCAGAGAAGCTAGCCCCAGGTGTTTACCATGTCATTTTTCCAGGGGCAAGCTTTCCTTATGTAGTAACTGTGGCATCACTCTAGTCTCCACCTGCACACATGACACAACAGTTAGTACCACAGACACTGGCCTCACGATGGCATTTACCACCACTACAGCTTTACTTGACAACCGTACGGCACTTCTACATTAGTGTTGTTACTTCCACTAAAAAATGTCACAGCAAAATCAGTACCAGTCTGTAACAGCCTGAACAGCAGCAGTCAGCCTTACATGGGTGTTCAGGCTTTTGCACTAGACTGCATGAGCTCAAAATATTGCTCCTGAGCTTGGCTATTCTGTGATTATCAAATACTTGTGGCAAGAGCCTTTAGAACTGCCAGTCTGGGGTGAGGGGTGTCAGGAATACTGGCCTTCCAGAAACATGAGCACCTTTCCCTGATACAACACATGAACAGTGGTAAAAAATGCATGAAACAATGAGAACATTAACTGATGAGATTACCAGTTTTATCCACCAGCACTTCTTAAGGCTTATGTACTCCAAAGAAATCTCATTGCGAAGACTGGCTCTGTCAAGAGCTTCTAAAGAAACATGCTTATTGGTCTCACTTCTGTATAGTGCAATGAACAAATATTATCCAATTTGATACAGATGGAACTTAAATCCAGACATACTTAGGAGTCAAAGAACAAGACTGCCTGTCCCAGTCAGTGCATTACATTAACAGATCAGGGTGCAATCAGCTAATTTTTAAACTTACCTGAAATTGCCCAGTGCAGAATCTATTTGTAACTAAGACTGCATCAATGAGAAGCTACATTTGGTCTCTGACACAAACTCTGACCCAGGAGGTAACTATCCTACCTGCTCCTATCTAAGTGGTCCTGGAATTGTCAGCAGTAAACGCATGGGGAAAAAAAATAAAAATATCTGCTGGAAGAATTAGCAATGAGGAGGAAATGTAACACATGGAATATAAAACAAAGTATTTATTATAGCTACAGTGTTTAGGAACACCTCAGGAATGTGGAGGAGATGTAGCAGCTATTTTTTTATTCCTTTCTGTGTTGATCAGAGATACAAGCTGGAGTATTTCAGGGTGAACAAACTTCCCTGCAAAACAGAAGAAAGGGAAAGTTAGTTAAAAATGTTCTCATTTTCCTGTGTGCAAAGCGTTGGCAGTGAAATGTTAACAGTGACATTGCTTTAGGCTCAGAATAAATGTCAAATTATTCTTTAAAAAGAGAGTACTCCCCGTTTAATCCTGCTATGGAATAACTAGGAGTAGTTACAGTCCTTCTTCACCCCAAAACTTACAAAAATACTTTGTGCTCTGTTAAGACATTTAAGAGCTGAAAAAGGGATGTACCCTGACCAAGACAATCCCATCCTGTGTATCCTGCTACAGGAAACCACCCCAGTGGTGCCCTTAGGTGGTGCCCTTAGGGCATGTGCTGCAGGTTCTACTGAGACACGATCTCGGTTTAAGTTACTGAATTCTGGCAGGAGGGCAAAGATGTCAATTATAAAATTAAGTACTCCAGCTTTGTTGATGTTGTTCTTTTTTCCCTTCTTCCCTAATCAAATTAACGCATTTTTCAGAGAGCTTATTTCTGAGGAGTCACCAAGGTACAAATGGGACTTGTCCCAGACTGTCTGGTGACTACTGTCTGTTCCTAGTTTTTTGCCAGGATGGGATGACTTGGAGCCAGTCATCTTCTGGTGTTCAGCTCCCTTGTAACACAGTGAAGACTGGTTTACCTGTCTTTCCTTTCAACTATCGGTTTATTTTGAGAAGGATGAAAAGCAGTGGATAGAATAAAAAGTGACAGGTTTGCGCCTAAAACATTTCACTGAGCTGCTTCTCACATGTACCTCACGCAGGCCACACAAGACCACAGCTCATGCAGGGATCACAAGTTCTACTTCACCAGTTCATGAAACACTAACAAAGTAGAAACAAGCCGCTGCCAGCACATCAGTGAAGTCTGCAGGCTCCTTTATATCCCCTTCTGGGGTTACAGGGAGATCCTTAAACGCATGTAAGTGTAACAAAAGCTGAGCCTCTCTAGGTAAAGAGTGATGTAAAAGGAACTTGGCATAAATGAAATTCAGGTTCAATACCTACAGAGAAAAGTAAGGTATTTTCAGTCTGCATGAAGTTTCCCCAGAAGTGTTTAAGGTACTTGAGCAATGAGTGAAATAACCAGCTCTCACTTGCTCTGAACATCTATCTGAAAAAAGGCAATTTATATATTTCATTTACAAAAGAAAAAGAAAAAACAACCCAAAAAAGCCCAAACGTCATACCAGCAGTTGAATTGTAAAAATCCTGCAGTCTGCCAGGTGTGTTTTCCAACTCTTCATATTCAAATGCTTGCAGTATCATCTCACACTGATCCAACTGCTTTACAAATTTGGCTTCTGCAGTACTCTGGTTTTCATATTCCTGAACAGATTTGCAGTTACGAGACAAAAAAAATTAGTTGTTCTGAAACAGAATATTAGAAGCTCTTTATGTATCTAGAATCTTCATCAGTACAGGCCACTCCATAAGTACTCATGATAGCTGTGTCTTTGTACGATTGCTTTTTAAGACTACCTTCTCCCACTTGCAAAACACTTGAAATAAGTATGCACCGAATTTCAATTCAATGTAATAGGACTTAAGAACATGATTCTTCTGCATGTTTTAACTCTGAACATACCAAGCATTTTAGCTGAATCACGGATGATACAGAGATAACCTTACACAGTATGAAAGTTAGGTAATAGGGTTCATTTAACAACAGTTTCATAGAAAGACCTTTTCAGGCCAAGCTGAGGCCATCAAACACCGTGGTGTGTGCCTATGCATTACCATTACTGGGTCTTAAGACCTGTTTGCACTTTTCTCTACTATTTGCTGGTTTTACAAGGAGTTGTTCTTTACATTTCTCCTGTCATTCCTTTTTATCTCTTTGGTCTGATCTGTCTGAGCTGCTTATGTCTTTGTGTCTTTCCTAGAAGATAGGGAGGGGATTTGTTAAGGGGTTTCCTCCCCTTCAGACTTTAATCTCTCTGCTATCTTTTCCCTCTCTCCATTCATCATCAGCATGAGTATTATGTATTCACATTTCTAGACAACTTGAACAGTTTTGCTGTCATTTGCTTCCTGTGATGGCTGCAGACAGGTCTGCCATTTCATTTTCTCTCTTCTAAATCTACTGCATTTTCTTTATCTCTCATTAGCCGGTCTTCTCCTGACTCCCAAAACCAACCACAGGAAAAGGCTTCTTTCTGTGCAGGCTGCCATCACCTTCATAACTTCAGCAGGTCTGATCCCATCCATCACCACCACCAGTAATCAGACCAGAGGCTGATTAACCACCACTAACCACATCAGGCCCATCTGTGCTCCCAGAGCCACACAACCTGTGACACACAGCCTTTCTGCAGGCAAGAGCAGCACAACTGCAGAAGTCAAAGCACGTGCCATTTCTTTCTGCACCTTAAGACAACAGCTGTGGGTGTCATTCACAGTGGCAAGATCCTGGGTTGTAATTCCAGCACAGCAATGCTCAGATAAGTGTGACTGACTGCTCTTAGGAGCCTGTTCTTATGCTTATTGCTTTACACTTGAAAGTCAGAAATCCAGATTTTGACAGCCATAATTGATTTATATACCACTCTATCTGGATTTGAATGATGCCTTACATTTTCAAATACATTTTGATCATTGTTCCAGTAATCAATTTCATTTCTACATTTTAAACTCCTTTTCCTCCTTTCAATGTGAGCTTTGCCTTATCTTTAAATTGTTTAAATACTACTACTTATTTTATTAATTTATTTTTTGTTGGCTACCAAAAAGAAAAAAAAACTCTTGGCACCACTACAAAGGAGAACTTTAAGAAAAGAACTATGGCTGTTTGCCTATAAAGGTCTACCCCACTTCCAGCAATTAACTGAGAGTATCAATCTGTTATCAACCTCTTTGTGCCATACAACCCACCAGATCTTTTTCATGCCTCAGCTCACATTAACCTCAAGAAACAGCAGCTATTATATGTGCTACTGTGCAATGCCGAACTAAACACTTACTGTTTCCTCCCTGCAGGTGTCTAAAAGTGCAAAATAACAGTATACTTTAGAAAAACAGTAACTGGTCTCTCAAACACCAGTCTGTCTTTTAAAAATTACTCCTGTGCTTTTGCTCTTGAACATAAAAAAGCAGGACAGGGCTGAAACGTGCAGATTCTTTTACTTTAATGTTTTTTAAAAAATATTCTGGATTAATAGGTAAAGTGAAAATATACTGAAGGCATCTTTCTGCCACCCCTCTCCCCTCCACTAGGCCTGCAGAGGGCCCATCAGTACAGTCCAAAGCAATAGACCTTGTAAGGCTGAAACAGAAAGAGCGGGCAGAGACAAAGCTGAAAGGGAAATGGGCACAGAGACATGGGCAGAGCAGTGCAGGATCTTGGTAAGAGTGTCAGCAGATCCTGTCCCAGCCACTGTTCAGTTCTGGGCCATAACTTCCTTCACTCACAAAAAGAAATCAGAGGGAAATGCCTCTGGCCAGCTGAATGCAGAGTATCACACCAACTGATCAGAGGCTTCTGTTTGCTGCATTTTTGGTTCCTTTTTTTTTTTTTTTTTTTTTTTTAAGAAGCATCTAGTTGTTCCACTTAAAATAAGACCAGAGGGACTGTATATGAATATTAGATTTCTAGGTTACACTTGCTGCTACACGGGTTACACTCATACGGCTGCGCTAGAGACTCAATGCCAATAAATTATCCTGAAGGTAGAAATAAAGAACAAATGATCAAAAGTGTGCACATGTTAACTTATGGTTAATGGGAATGATAAAAAGCTAACAAACATGCTGAAGAACTAACTGCATGCTGAACCAGCTCTAAACAATCAGAAAAGCAGAGAGAGGCAAAGGAAAATAATACATGGGGGGGGGGAAGGTCCTGCAAGAGTAACCTTATCAAAACCTCCTTTTCCTCAATTGTGACAGCTTCCCAAAGGAGAAAAAAATGTGCTCACTAAACAAATGCACACACATTATTTCCCAGATCTGGTTATGCTGATTTACCCCCTATACCTTAAATGGCAACACTGAAAACCCATCCCCATTGCCAGTTTCACCACAACTAGAAAAAGAAGAACTGCACCCCAACAAACAGGGTGCTGTAACAAAAGGCAGAAATCGGCTGCAAATATCTGAAATTTAATAATAGTCCAAGTGAAAAACTAAAAATACCAGCATAAAATACAGTTTCAGGTCACAGAGTCCAAGAAACATATAATGCTTTGTTTGCAACAACATGGGAACAAGAGATCATAGATACATTTGTTCTCATACAACTGTATGCAAGGAGAAGACTAAGCACAATACTTATCATCTTGAATTGTTTGGACATAATCTAATCATCCCTGGTTTTCAAGCGTAAAGATCTTAATTAACAGCATGAGTCCAAATCAAAAAGTTAAATCACCTTCAAATACAGAAGATACTTCCTAGAACAAACATTTTAAGTTACCCAAGACCAGCGAGCAACTGGTGCTACTTGCAGAAAAGCACACTTCTGTGTGAGTACATCACATTTAAGTTTAAATGAGAATTTACTACTAAATTTTTTAGCCTAATAAGCTGAATAATATAGGAATGGAAGACACATAAATTGTTATTTGCATAAAAAGCAGAAAGTACTCCATGGCATCATCAGCTCCCATTATTTTTTTCTGTATTAAAAGATCATGAGCTACAAATGGCCGGATGTGAACGAAAGAGATAATGTAGTAAGAACACTAATATCCACGAGGGCTGGATGTAGAGGACAAATCCTTCCTTCTGTTGTACAAAGTCCTGGAAAGGTCCATCTGGAACTTTGCAAAGCCAAAGGCAGAACCTGATTATTTTACCAAAGTTTGGGATTTCTGTGTCAAGAGGATTCCAAAGTGACCTTGACTCATACCGTTAGCTTTACATCCCAAGCAAATGAATCTATGTTGCTTGAGGTCAAAATAAGAGATGACCCCATTTCAGAGGTGAACAGGAAGAGGACAATTGGTGACTTAATTTCAGCAAAGGATTAAAAGAATGCAAACTTACTTCCCAGAGTTCATAGATTTCTTTTCTGATGTCCTCTGATAGAAGCTGGGTCAGTTGTCGCATAGCTGCCTGGAGAGAAAAAAGAATGAAAATCAAAAGCCATTTCTATTTATCCATTTTTTGAGCAAGCATATATATTTTTTTCCCCCCTTCAGAATTAACTACTTGTTACCAAGTTTGTAGAAACACACATTGTACAGCATATTATTGTATTTCGTTTGCATGGCCAAGTTTTGGTAGACTGGGGGATACAGGGAACACTTCTCTAAGAAGGTGCTAGAAGCATCTCCTCTGTCCAATGGAGCCAATGCCAGATGGCTCCAAGATGGACCCACTACTGGCCAAGGCCAAGCCCATCACCGTTATCCCTCCGGGATAACGTATTTAAAAGGGGGAAAAGTTACCCTGCAGAAGCAATTGTAGCCAGAGAGAAGACTGAGAACATGTGAGAGAAACAGCTCTGCAGACCCCAAGGTCAGTGCAGAAGGAGGGCAGGAGGTGCTCCAGGCACCAGAGGTTGCCCTGCAGCCCATGGTGCAGACCATGGTGAGGCAGGCTGTGCCCCTGAAGCCCATGGAAGGCCAAGGTGGAGCAGATGTCCACCTGCAGCCCACACCAAAGCAGAAGGATGCCCAAAGGAGGCTGTGACCCTGTGGGAAGCCCTCACTGGAGCCGGCTCCTGGCAGGACCTCGTGGGGGACTCACACTGGAGCAGGCTGTTTCTGAAGGGCTACACCCAATGAAGGGACCAATGCTGAAGCAGTGCATGAAGAACTGCAGCCTGTGAGATAGACTCACATTGGAGAACCCCCTGCACTGATGGGAGGGAGGAGGTGAAGAATTCAGGAGTAAAGTTAAGCCTGAGAATAAAGGAGGTGGGAGGAAGACAAGGTGTTTTAAGATTTGGTTTTATTACTCATTTTCCTACTCTGACTTGATTGGCAATAAATTAATTTCTCCAGGTTGAGTCAGTTTTGCTCATGATGGTAACTGCTGAGTGATCTCTTCCTGTCCTTACCTTGCCCATGACCCTTTAGTTGCATTCTCTCTTCCCTGCCCAGCTGAGGAGGGGAGTGACAGAGCAGCTTTGGTGGGCACCTGGTATTCAGCCAGGGTCAGCCCACCACAATTATTCTGAAGTGCACATGTGCACAAACTCGCCAAAGAAACAGTAGGATCACTCAGTGAAGAATCTTTTCTGGGAGCCACTTAAGTAAGTTGTTAAAGACATAGTCTAAAACATAAGAAAAAGCCTGAAAGTATATCCAGTATCTTCAAGAGTCCAGAAAGAAACCCAAAGCAAGGCAGGCAAGCCATGGAACTACTGTCAGTTACCAGCTCTGCCTCGAGATTTGACTAGTGGAGGCAACATTTGAACTCAATAGGTTACAGGTGCAGTGTTGAAAAGCAACTGTCCCCTCCCAGTCAAGCAGCACACTTCCACTAACAGGAACAGTTACTGACTGTCAGGCAATGCAATATAAGCCTTTAGAAATCCAATTTTGAAAAACAGGGAAAAAAAAAAAAAAAGATCCATTTAATATGCTGCAGCAATAAAACACAGTGCTCCCAGACTGAGTCACCATTTGTTCAACAACAAAGATCCTGGTACAAGGTCTAATGGTATCAGCAGGCAGAAACTGTTCTGCATACTCTTCATGCTCTCCCAGCTGATCAGTCTCATTTCTGTGTTATTTCTACTCTTTTCCTAGTAATATTAAGGGCTGCTTCTGAAACAATCAACATCACAGGCAAGACAAATACTTTGTGTCACGATTAGTTCCACACTTCAAATACAAGGTACAGTTTCACAATACAGCTGAACTGAATCAGCTGCTCCCCACTACTGAAGCATCAAGGTCTTGTTACTTTTCACCTCCTTTCAGCTCTGGAGCTCATCAGATTTCAAGGTTATCAGGCCAAAATGACTGTTCAAGTTCATTTTCTGCTGCCTTAGCCTTGGTGAGACTAGCTGATTAAACTTACTGCATGAGCAGCAAACTTCAGAACCAGCTCAATGCCAGCTATAGAGCAAAGGGGAAAACAAGGAGAACTCTGCAGAAAAAACAGCATACTGGTAATTCAGCTCAAGCCACCTCATGAAATGGTTACCTTTGGTAAATACCAAAGTATTTTAGAGTCAGCCTAAATGTTGAATACTTGACCACCCTTCCCACAAAGTCAACAGCAAAGTCTTCACTGAGTGAAATGGGAGCAGAAGGAGCTGCAAATATTTACTTCTTAAGCATACTTAGGCATCAAAGTATCTTTTCTGCTGCCTAAATACAAGTGAGAATTACCTCTAGGCAAAGTTGAAGCTTGATCCTCAGTGACAAACAAGCTTTGGAGGCTTCTAGAAAACAGGGGTTATTTTGTTTGTTTGTTCAGTGTGAGAACACAGTAGGAAATAAACTGGGGGGTGTGGAACCCAAACCAAAAAAGCCCAAACCAAAATTGCAGTCAGCAAAGATAGTACTTTGAGAACACCAAGTAGCCCTTTGATCTTTAATTCCCAATTTCTTAGCAAACAGGTTACTCCTGGCGTTCATCATAGGCTCCCCAGCCCCAGGTTTTAAATAGATAAGCCAGAGGAGGCCTGCCCAAGGAGCAGGCTCCCCAAGGCTATGAGGGATGCTTTCACACAGCTGCTCACAGGTTAAGTGAAGCTGCTGCCCTCTTCAGCCTCAGGGGTGCCACCCCTGCCCTCTTCCAGCAAGCAGAGGAGAGATAAGGTTAAGATAGAAGCAGTGGTGGGGAAATAATAATTAAAGCCTGATTTACACACTTTGAAGAGCTAATTGCAGCTTCTAAAGTTTCTGAGGCATCACGTTGCCCTCTAGCTGCGGCTGTAGGAGTAGTTTATATTTTCTTCAAGTAACACATAAAAACAAAAATGACAAACCAACAGTTTGTATATGTGCAAAGCCAAACATAAAACAACTCTAGCCATGTTGCACTCAAAGACTCGTGACAAAAAGGACACCTGTGTCTGGAGTCCTATGCAAATGGTTTAAATAAAGTCCCTGTCACACATGATTTGGCACCATGCAAATGATCCACCATAAATTGCCATCCACATTCTCCAGTGCACCTACTCCCTGTTCCCTACCTCTTGGTAAGGCTGGTCAACATGACTAATTCAGGTTACAAAAAATCCAGCCAGCTCAGGAATAAATGGCCAACATGAAGATTAGTCCAAATGTTCTTCTTCTTCCTTAACTTTGTACTTGGTGACGTTACACATACAAAAATCACAAGGAGTTGAAAACTTTGGTTGTGGCACACTTGTCTAGTTCCAGTGACAATATTATGTTGCTTAGAGGGTCCTTTCACTACCACCACCACATTAAAACCATGCAGAACACTTCGCAGATGTGGCTTCACACCTTATGCACATACCTCTTCCCTCCTGTGTTTCTCCTCCTTTGAGATATTATCTGCTGGAGCAATGTCTCCAACAATGCATTCAGCCATATCATGGACCAAAGCTAATCGTATGCTTCTGGCAAGAAGCAAAGACAGAATAGTTAGGTTTTCAGCATTTTAAGTTGCATATTGTTATTCATAAAGCTGAGAGACTACATAATTTATCCCCTTCAAATATTTCACAGGTTGTTCGTGTTTTGCAGGTCTTTTGGGGAGGTTGTTTTGGGTTTTTTTAAACTTTACATAACATTTTTCACTTCTTCGCTACAAGGTTTTCCATCTAGACACTATTGTAATCCCTCATTTCTAGGTACTGCTGCTTGTAAATGTAGATTTAAGTATAAATACCCTTTGCACGAGAGCATAGCATTCACGAGTAATGTACTTAGCTTCTGCATGTTTGGCTTTCGGGGATGTTATGATGACTAACTACATTCTATACTTCATATTATTCCTGCAACAGGTAGAAAGTAATCTGATTGGAGGCATCCTGAATTTAGTATATAATCTTATACTCACAGCTCTGTAGCTATGCCAGTGTGCAGCAGAATACTCACAACAGCATTCAGGTCAGCTTCAGGAGAGACAAAGTAAGTGTGATCCTGTACTAAACTTGATAATTCATTCGACAATGACCATTCTCTAGTATGCAAGATGACTGCTCAGGCTTCTTACTGCTGTTAAAATCCACACGATATATGGGTTTACTTTTGCTGTCTGTTGCTTCAAGCTGCGTTTGAACTGAGTGTCTTCAGCTCGCTTACTTACAGCTTGACAGAAGGCCAGCCCAGAGCCTCTGCACTAAAAACTTGCCTCAGCATCACAGTTTGGCAATAAAAGTTTTTAGCCCCTTTCAGCTCTCCAGGTAAACAGCACCAAAGGACGGAGAAAAGAGAAGAGAGGAAAGGATTTCAAACTCCTTCAGTATGTTTCAAAAGCCCTTCCTCAGGATGAAGCTATTTTTAGCATTTCGGTTGCAGCTCATCCACAGCATTAACATATGATCAAATAACCAGAGACAATCTCACCTGTCCTTGTTAAGGCTTTTGTCTTCAGTCACCAAAGCCATCATTGCCATTCTGTACATATGATCGGATACGCTCTCTGGCTTTGCCACGTTCCTGTACACCCATCCTGTCCGCGGTACTCTCTGCATAAGAAGAGTGTCACAGCAACATGAACATTAAAACTCAGGTTTTGGGGGTCTCACCCCACCGTGACCTCCATGCTCCAGTGAGCTTTGATGCTTCCGGGAAACACCTGCCCGAACACCGGGCTCCGACGGGACGCCTT